TGCCATGCAGCACAGCCCCACTTTGCGCTGCTGACACAACGTGAATCCCAGAGCTGCGCCATCAAGACTTTGCTGAGGTGAGTCATCCCCACCTTAACAGCCTCTGCTGCGGAGGTGTTGGCATCGTTTCCCTGTTGGAAGGAGCTCACAGGGTTGGTGCAGGGCTGAGCTTGGCCATGGCTGTGCATTCCATGCACGTGGCTCAGCTGCAGCTTTAACTTCAGCTCCATGGCACGGTGCTCCCATCCCAGCAGATCCGTGTGTCCGCTCTGCTGCTTTCCCTCTCACATCTCATAATGGGATGCTTACAGCCCAGTGTTCTCTCTTTACAGGTGTTGCTCTCCCATTCCTGTGTGTTAACTGGTGAGCAGATTCCTGCTTTGCAGAACTGTATTTTGGTGGGGTTTCCTTGTATCCTCGAGGAAGCGTTAAGACAACAGGTTGATGGTGTGCAGCCCTGTCCTCTCCAGCGTGTTCCTCCCATGAGGGGGGCCACTGCTCCCCTGCTGCCCAGAACTGGAGATTTGTGGCCCACCAGCCCTGTGAATCCCGACCTGCTCTTTGACCTGCCTGCAATTAATCTACCCATCGTTATTTGAGCTCTGGAATCTTTTCCCCATTCATCTTGCCATTGTGATTTTTTTCTTTTTTTAATGCAACTTTCTGCTCTCAGCATGGGGGATTTCTCCGTGCTTTTCTCAGCGCTTTTGACAGTGCTCTGCTCTGACTCCCCTGTTGCTTTGCATGTGAAAGCTGGTGGCCTTTGGCTCTCCCAGGGCTGTGCAGCCTGCTCTATGCATCGCCTTCCCCCCAACAGCTCCTTGAGGTTTCCTGGGTCCTGAGAAGCACGTGGGGTCAGCTTCCTCCCTTGCATTTAAGCATATGAAATTGTATTTTAGCCAAGAAGGCAGTGCTGTTAGTGGGAGGATTTTGCATATAGCAAAGGCTTTCTGGGCAGGGCTGGAATGTGGAGTGAGACCTCTGTACGAGTTGAAAATGCTGGGATGCTCTGCAAGCTTGGTGCAATTATTCTCTGCGAATGGCCACCCGCATCTTTTGTAATGTGTCTGATTTATTTGTGTAAGTGATACCGCAGCTGTAAAATGTAACACCAAGCTCTCAACCACTGTGCTTTCAGTGTGAACTCTGCTGCACCAAGTGTGGTTTTGGTGGGTACTGTATGATGGGCCCCTGGCAGCAGGGCTGAGTGCAGTCGCATTGGTGCTGGTGTGCCTGGAGAGCCGAGCTGGGAAAGAATCTGCAGAACAGAAGGAAGGGAATGCAGAAGGTGTACAGGGCTGGCAGTGACAGAGCACAGGAGGAGGGCAGCCAGGGTGTCATCCCAGCTCTGCTCTCCATAGCAAAGAAACTTCTGCATGAAGTGTGATGACCTCCTTAAACTCGAGGTCCCCATTTGGGCTCTGCTTGCCGTACTCTATGCTGCTCGCTGGGGACTCTGCTAACCCTGCCAAGAGGGGCTGAGGAGCATTGCCTGGGCTCCAGCCAAGTTCCCCCTGGCCCAGGCTGCTTTAATCTCCTCCAGCCTGCATCAGCAGCTTCTTTTGTCCGCTCCTTCAACTTGAATTCTTGCACAAAGCGTTCGAGTTGTTTGTATCATCAGTCTATGAGCAGGAAATACCAACGGAGGGTTGCGAGAATTTAGCAGCCTTGTGGATATTAAGAACAGAGCTGTGTGTGGGTGATGTCCTGCAGGCCATGCACGAGGAGTCACAGCCTCCAGCCTCACTGCCCTGGTCACCATTCATCTCTGGGCCATTGAACCACGTCTTCAGGCTCAGTTCTCATGTCTTGTAGTGAGTGCTAAGCTTGTAAAGGCATTGGGGTGGCAGTGGCCTTCTGTCTGTATGCACGCACCTCCAGGTGCTCTGGGCACAGATCAGAGGCTGCAGATCTGCTCCTGAGGACTCAGGAAACATGGAGTTGTTCTTTACGTCGGGCTTTGCTGCAGCTTGCTGCCCTACACAGCTTTGTGAGTAAAGTTACAGGAAGGAATGAACGGAAAATAAGCAAGAGGACAAATATCCTCTGTTCAGAACTCTTTATTGTGACCTGAAGCGATGCGCTTTATTCAGCAGTTTTGGCAAACAGGAAGTTTTCTTTCAGAAGCTGCAGCATTTGCTGAATCATGGAGCAAGAGAAACGGAGTGCAAGAGTTAGTTCCAACAGAACAGATTTTGCAGTTTTCAGAGCTCCTCTTATATCCTTCATGTTCAGTCTTAATTGCCTGTCCCACTGTACGCAGTGCTTGGGTTTTATACTCTGCTTCTCTCAGTGCTGTGTTTGCATTTCAAAGATGAGAAAACAGAGGTCTGGAGGCAGAGCCTGTCCCAAGGCAGTGAGACACAGCGGGGACAAAACCCTCGTGGCTCTCAGAGTCGCCCCCTGCACGCTGTCTTGCAGCATCAGGAGCATCGCAGTGGTTTTGGTGTTCAGGTCTCCCCTGCTTTGAAGAGGCCCCCAGCTGGGGCTGAGCAGTGTCCTTCCGTGCTCTCATCCCTGTGTCAAAAGCTCTGAGATGCCTACAGGAGTGATGTCATTTCCAACAAGCCTGAGGGCAGCTCGGCTGCAAGGAGTGCAGATCTGTTCTGCTTCAGTCAGGGGTGCCACAAGAGTTGTCTGTACACTGCTTCTGGTTGGAGGTTTTCTCTCTGTATGTTCTCAGAATGTTTTCTCCATTGAGCTCGGGCTGTTTTCATGCTCTGCAGGAACTGTAGTGTCTTCCAGAAGTCAAGTTCCCATTCAAATGCCCTCTAACTCTCTTTATGCAGACTGCAGTAGGAGTTATTTTCCTGTGTGTTGAGCTCTAAAATGAGAGGCTCAGGATCTCATCGTAGGCTGTGCGTCCATAGCAATGGGTTGGAAGGTTGGGTTTGTGTGCAGGAGAGCTTTGATTGCAGGGAACTTGGACTAGATGGCCCTCGAAGTCCCTTCCAGCTCTAAGGATTCTATGATTCTGTGAACTTGCTGGCTTCTACTGTAGACCTGATATTGAAGTATAAATAGTTCTCTTCTTAAATCCTTTCCATCTGAACTTTCTGGTTTGACCTTTCTTTGATAAGCTTTCTGTATTGGTGAGAATGAAAGGGCAGGAGGGTGCAGTGGGACGGGAAGGACACGTGGATCCCAGCACATGTATCCCTTGGTACCCAGGCCTTGCTGCTGAGCCAGCTCCAGCTTGGGCTCCAGCTCCCAGTTATTTGAGTTCTGTGTTTCCCTCTAACACGTGAACCAGACCATGTCTGAGGAGGTTTTCTGGGAGTGCTTTTGCTTGCAGGGAGGCTGTGCTGTGCTGGGAGTTTGGCCTGGAGCCCCCAGTAGCTCTCCTGGCTATACCCAGGCTTTCTGACACTGGTTTTAACCATTAATTGCTGCTTTAAATCCAGAGTTAAATTGCCTGGGCAACCAGACTTCATGAGTCCACTGCCAAAAATAAAGCAGGGTCTGAAAATGGCTCGGGTCCCTGCATTCTTCAGGACTGCCACAGCTGGATGGGGCACAAGCCCTTTTGAACTCCATCCTTTGGGTTTTGGGGTCTCATATCTTCAGGCTATCATGTGATCCATCACCCTTCGAGTGATGCATTGCATTTGTGCAGAGATTTGCTGTTTGCTTCTGAAGTGCAGAATGGGGAGTGGGGCACAGGGATCCCCCTGGCTCCTTGGCACACTGGATTCTGTGGCTTACTTCCCTATCTTCTTAGATAAAGCTTCCCTCAGGGGTGTTTCTCCTCCCAAGACGGCTTGTGGCCATCTCAGAACTCCAGAGCCTTTCAGTAGGGCTGCTGGGTCAGGCATCACAGCTGGAACAGGCTTCCCAAATCCCACCTGAAATGTGCTGGAGTGCAAGCATGCTGCGTGACTTCTGTGTTTCCACTTGGTCTGTACAGCATCCCTGTTGGTTTGGTGCCTTTCCTGCTGCTTTTATAGACTGCAGTGTAGAGTTTTTCTGGCTGGGAGCCCCATAGTAATGGCTGTTATTGCAGAAAACCCACTGGCTGCTCAGGCTGCCCCGTCCCAAACAATGAGTTGTGGTGATTACGTGGTGGGGAGGAAATGAAATGATCAGCAAAACCTACTTTGTAAAAAGCAATGGGTGACTTTATTTAAAAGCAGTTACACTGGAGGTTAGTGGGTGCTGTTAATTCCTACCCTGAGTTAAAAAATGAAATGAAGGAGTCAAACGTGTTCAGTTAGGAGGAGTGTGATTGTCCAGGCTTATAAATATAAGTCTTGAAGAGAGAAAGTTTAAAGCAGTCCAACACAGATGGACTGATGAGTTGTGGTGTGTTTGGGAAGGTGAGAGGTCTGTTTTCATTGGAGGTTGTTGCTTTGGGTTCCTGTGCCCTTCCCTGGGGCAGCACTGATGCAGAGAGCTCGACCAAGAGCAGCGCTGGCATCTTGTGTGTGTTGCTCCAGTATTCTAAATGGGACACCTTGGAGGGGTTGGAGAGGAGATTGATACTACAGTCCTCGAGTTTGACTTCTGAAAAGGGATTGAAGTGCTTGGGGACCTCCTGCTTCCCATAGGGGCTGTTGGCAGTGATTGTTGGGCAGTGTGAAGTCGGTGTGGGTGCCTGCTGGTGACCAGCAGCGGGCTGTGCATCCCACCGCTGCAGACTTGCACCCTGGTAGCTCTTGGTATGGGGGGAAGGCTTCCTCAACCCCTGGCCCCTTCAGAGTTAGTGTGAGTTAGTGATGTCTGATGGCTTACCTTATCTACTGGTTAACCTGAGCGTTCCACTGAGGATGGTTTTTGGTGAGGCTGCAAGACATCTGTTGGAGAACATGGGAGCTCTGATTGAGAGCCCAGGGTGTCTGAGCTGTGTGCTCTGTGACGCTCACCCACGCTGTGCTGTCTGTTCTCTGTGTTGCTGCCCCATAACCATCTCAGTGTGAGAGCTCTGCTGATGCCTTTTCTTGCAGTCTGTCTGTCCGTTTGCTGTATGCCTAAGTGTTCCCTGTACGTTTTCTGTCTTGCAGCATCTGGAGAGGGCCAAATGTGAACTGCGTTGACAGTACTGGATACACTCCACTGCACCATGCTGCTTTGAATGGTCATAAGTGAGTCATTTACACTGCCTTTGATCATAAGGGGTGCTATGTGCTTCACAAGCTGCAGTTTGTTCATGCATTCACCATTCTGATGCTGTTGCCTCTGAAAATGTGGCGATGGTGCAACACTACACCATCTTCAGGACAAGCAAAGAACATCAGTGCAGCAAAGCTTAGAGGTGTTCTGTGCTGCATTGTCTGTCTATCTTTTCAACAGTTTGCTAGAACATGGAAGTTTTCAACCACCCTTTTATTTGCAAGTAATTCCAACCTTGTGATTCTATGATTCTATGTAACAAGACATTAAAGATGGCTTTTCCAGTAACAGTCCTCTGCAGTCTGTCTGGTGTCCAATGTGTTGCTGTGCCTGCACCACCTGAAATTTGCTTTTGTGTGCAATTACATTTTTAAATAACTCTGGTCTTCATTATCATACAGGTAGATCCTGTATTGTTCACTGCTACTTCAGATGCTGAGAAATTGAATAGAAGTCCTCATTCATCCTCCTTGTGCTGGTGCAGTGACTTCAGTCCCTATTCAGCTCAGATAGAACGAAGATAACACAGATCTTCCCTGAACTTATCTCAGCATTCTTTCTTTGGGCATCATTTAGTAGGAATGTTATAAAATCACATTCCAAGAGGATCTCTGAAATACTTTTTTCAGATGTTTTTTTTTTTTTTTTTTTTTTTTAATAAAACAGTGCAGACTGTGAGACAGAGACTGAATGCCTCACAGACCCAAATCTTCTCTTGCAGGGATGTGGTGGAAGTCCTCTTGAGGAACGACGCGCTCACCAACGTGGCAGACTGTAAGGGCTGCTACCCCCTGCACCTGGCAGCTTGGAAAGGAGATGCAGACATAGTGAAGCTCCTCATCCACCAGGGACCTTCGCATACTAAAGTGAATGAGCAGGTCTGCCTGTTTTTCTCTAATATTCCTTTGAGCTGATTTTCTCGGATGGAGGAAGACCCCTTGAACTGACTCCTGGCTCCCCCCAGCTGGCAGCAGTTGTTACAGAGTTAATTGCTAGTGGGGGGAGGGCAGTGCCTAAAGCAATTCCTCCTGTTCTGAGCTATGAATGAATGAGGTGTATATACATTAACCTATAGAGAGAGATATAAGTGTGTACTGAGAGCCCCTCCGCACCTAGGAAGTAGTCTCCTGCTTTCATGCTGAGCTTCTGAAACTAACACAGGTTTTCCTTTCAGTTGCTGGATAACTGAGAAGTTTTCTAGTTCTGTCCCAGGATACGTTGGCTCCCTTCTTTTGGGAACTAATCAAAGCAGCTTTTAGTCTTTGTTTGGCCATGCTATCTTAGCTACTCTCCTGGCTTGTCTCTAGCACTTGCTCCAGTTAACTAATTTGTAAGTGGTGAGATAATTTCAGCCTATGGTGACCCCAGATAAATCCCCTGCTTAATCTTTATTTTTTTTCACAATCAGAAAAGGGAAGAACAAAACAAATATGGATTGTGGGAAGTCCCACCTATTTCTTTTGCTTAAGACTTTGGATAAAGGAGCTGGTTCGCTGAGTGATGCTGGCTGAGCATTGACACTGAGCCATCTGTGGTTCTGCACCGTGCCTTGGGCAGGCGTGCAGTAACACATTCCCATGAGATGGTTAAAGCTGCAGTGGCTTTTGGTTGTCCCCTCCCTGAGCAGGGGTGCCCGGTGTCCTTGTGAACCAACTCCTTCCTGCTGGGATTTTCATCCAGCTGGAGGCAAGTAAACCCAAACAAGGCTGTCTGCCTTCGTGCCATAAGGTTAAACACACACTTTCATACAGAAGTGAATTCATAACGAGGTCATACACTCCCAGCTCAGGTTTAGCAGAATCCATCTGAGCTGAAATGACTGAGAGCTGTGAGTTTCTGCTGTTTAATTTTGATCTGCTCTCTGTACTTTTTCAGAAGCTGAGGAACAAAATCCTCTTCACAGAGTTGGGGTTGGGAGCCCCAGTCCTGCTTGTAGCCACGCTCTGTGGGGACAAAGTTCTCCTGCCTGAGCATTCAGTTCATCAATGTAAAGCAGTTAATGTGATGCACCAGCTGTTGCAAGGCTAAGTGAAACAAAAAACACAGTGCCAATGCTAATCACCACCACTCCTCAACTGAGCAGCAGTAACTGTGTTTTACTGTTTTGGACAGTTTTCAAGCTCGGGGCTGTGCACAGTAATGCCTTTGGGCACAGCTGCAGGTGTTCACTCTTTCACAACAGTGAGGAGTGCAGTAAACTGTTCCCAATCAATCTGATAAAAACTGACTGAGGGCCCTGGGTGGGAGCAGAGCAGGACAGGTGTAAGGGAAACCTTTGCAAAAGCCCAGTGTTACCCTTCCAGGTAATGTTTCATTAATGTTTGTTTAGTAGGAATCCTTTTGAACAATGAAAATCAGTCGAATAACTTGTGCTGCCTGAGTCTGGAGCCTTGTAAAGAAACAGTGGTTCAGGTTACAGGAATCAGCTGCTGGAATGGCTTCTGCTGTTAATAGCTCTGACTGGAACAAGACGCTGTGTTCTGTCATTTCCACCCCTTGGGAGTCACCCATTGCTTTGTTGCTCAATCTCACCCATTTCATTATCACATTTTTGTTCTTTTTCCTCTTCCTTTTTGTAGAATGCTCTTGAGATCAAAGAACTCAAAAAGTACGGCCCCTTTGACCCATATATCAATGCCAAGGTGTGTACTTTGCTGTCAGCATTTCACTGCATCATTACTCCAAGCTGCACTCGCGTGCTTTCAGGTGCAATGTCATCCAGTTGCAATAATACCTGTTCAGTTTGCAGCTGCTTGGGGAGAAGTAAAATGCAACCATTTATTTACTCTGGGTTTCTTTCTTCAAAGCAGTTATAGAAACATAATTTAAGGGAAGCTTTTCCTTACTTTCCTGGGGGCTCCTTCATTGCTTAGCCTTGTAGGACTCACGGTGATGGTCAGTTTGCTTGGTTTGGCTGGATGACTTCCAAAAGGTAAAGTAATTTCAACTCAAATGCTCTAGGTATTGTTTCACATGCTAATGTCGCATTTATCAATGCAAAGAGAAGGATTTTTTTTTCCTGCTTAAACATGGATGCATTTTCTGTGGGCTGTTTGGAGTGAATTTCATGCCTTCTCTCCTACAAAACGCATAATGCTGTGTGTGTTTGAATGGACGGTGAATTCTTTCCGTGGTGGTGGGGAGAAGGGAAGGTAGTAACATTGATACCTCCCTTCCTGAGCCCTCCGTGTCCTGCTTATTGCTTCAGTCTCTTTTTTGGTGTTAAGTCTGTGTTGTCTGACCCTTCAGCCCTGGTTTTCTGTTCCTGTTCTCCTGCCTGTTTTGCCCTTCTTTTGCTTTTAGCTCTTGAACTACAAAGAGGCACGACGTCAGCACTTACGATGCACTGCAGCTGAGCAATCGAGGAAGCAGATCAGAAAGTTCCTGGGGTCACTTGTTGTGTCTGTCAGACGGTGGTGTTTTCTCAGGCACTCCCCCATCTCTCATTTCTATTTATAATGAAGCAGCAGACACCAGTGATGGCATAAAGCTGCTGCTTTATCACAGGATGCTTCTGCTGTCAGCCTCCGCACCACGCTTGCTTCCAGCCAGCTGCCTGGGACTCAGCCATCCATGGCAGATCTCTCTCTCAAAGTTCACTTGGGACTTTCATTCTGCTTGATCCGCACTACCTTTAGAAACACATCCAAAATTCCTGAGCTTGCTAACCACTGGGAATGATGTTTGTTTTTGTAGCTTCTATTTCAGGAGATACTTTAGCACGTACTTCTTGGAGCAAAAATATACCTATGTGAAACTTGTCCTTATCTGTGACTTGGACAAAAATCCAGCTGGGAATTTTACAGCAATAAATATCCTTTGTGGAAACGTATCCCAGTTGAGTTCAGCTGGCTGAAGGGGAGCTCTCCAAATTACTGTCAGTAATGCAGTGAAACCTTATATGCTAGCAGTAAATTTTTGAGTGAGGAAGGAATACAAACCTCAAATTGGGCGAGCTTTCTTGTGGAATGTTTATTAAGTATTCTATCTTAAATTGATTTTCTTTTGGCTGTGTTCAGGGTGGCTGTAGCACTCTTGCAAGCAAGGCTGGGGCTTTGCAATCTTTGGTTTTAAGGAGAGAGAGAGAAATGACTCACAGCACACGTTAGGTCCATCCAAAGTTGTGACCAGCTTACCACTGGTTCCTGGCCAGGTGTGATGAAGTCCAAGCAGAGCCATATCTCACATACTCACCTTGATGTTTTCTCAGTAGCTTGGCTGCGGGTGGGAGAGCCAAAGAAAGTCCAAGAGCAAAGTAAGGAGTCCTTGCTTGGCTGGTGCTTTCAGCTTCCCAGCTCCCACGCAGGATGGGATTTGATATAGAAGCAATCAAAGCAAGGTGTCTCCTTTTTCCAAGCATGTGGGATATTTTCAAGAGGGGAAAAGTGTTTCTATAAGGTTGGATTACAGATTAAATTGTTACCCTGATCAGGAAGAGGTAAGAGAGCCAGAAGCTTCTTGTTTTCCCAAAAGCTTCTTTTTGTACCCCTTCCTTTTCAATATCTTTTAAATAAATAGCCCTTCCAGCCCCTCTGTATGGGCCATAGAGACTTCTGAAACGGGAATGATAGAAGCCAAGTGAAGAGATGGAGCTGCAGCTTTGTTCCTGTGACTCCTGCCTTAAACTGGGCTCTCTAATTGGGATGAAGGAACCCACCCAGTTGAGCAAAGCCTGTGTAGAAAAAGCCGTCACGTAGCCCAAGGAGGAATAAACTGCACAACCTATCTTTGTCTTTCTTAATTGGCTGCAAATGATTCATGCAGATTGGATTTAAAGCGCTATAAATCTAAATGTGCTGAGAGAAGTGGAAGCCCAGCATCTGCAGCCTGCGGATGAATGCGGGCAGCACGGCCACCTGCAGAGCTTCTGAGGGCTTGCTGGGCAGATGGGGGTCGTTTCTTCTGAAATGGTGTTGGCGGGCACCTGTGGGAGCAGAGGAGCCTCTTCATCCCTGCTCTGCTGAGGGCAGAGCCCCAAGGGACGACTGGAGGTCTTGCAATCTGATCTGTTCTGGATCTAGCAGCTGGCAGCCCTGCTGTGGGGAAGGAACCTGGTGGTCCTTGAGGTCCCTTCCAACCCAAACCATTCAGTGGTTCTTTTCCCCACCCCAAGGCAGAGTTGTGTCTACTAAACCATTTTTGCCTGGCATTCACAACAGCTCCTCCAAAACTCAGAGCACCATTGCCAAGCTGTGCCTTGGTGTAAGTGTTCAAACCTTTGCAGGTTAGAAAATTTAGAAAAAAAACAACAAACTTTTCCACTTATTTTAAGAAAGAAAGATGTGATTTAGATCGAAGCCCTCCTACAGAGTGTTAGGAACAGGAGTGCAGATGCTCTTGACTGAGCTGGAGGTGCTCTGCAGCACGGTGTGATGAGGAGCATAAGGGCAGTGGTATGTGATATCTGATTACCAGGGCTTGAGAAATGTGATGGAACCCGTATGAGAGCGGAGGCATTCCTGCTGCTGTTCCCATTTTGTTGTCTGCAGGCAGGCATCAGCCAAGGCCCAGCTTCCCACTCCTGGCTGCAGTTAAGGGGGGTGCTTGGATTCCTGCAGGAGTGCTGCCCCTGGGTCCTATTGAGCGCTCTGATTTTTTCCTAAGGAGTTTTGAAATTTGAATCCACGTGCCTTCTGGCTGCTGGGAAGGAAATTTTCTTTTTCCATCTCAGATAAATGCATACATCTGAGCGCTTGTGCCTGTTTTTAGGCTCTGCTTGGGGTTGGGGCACACTCCTTTGTCTGGAACAGTTCAGGTATTTGGGGCTCCTCCAAGCTCACCCAAAACGGGAGCAGTGCAGACTCATATGATAGCTGGAGTTCCTGTGATGGGGAAGGACTTGCTGTAATGGTGCAGAGCATCTTACCACCTGGTGGCTGTGCTACAGGAGGATGGCCTGGGGATTTCATCCCGGTTTTATGGATGGGATTTTGTCCAGAGCACCAGTGCCCTGAGCTGTTTAGAGAAAATGAGACTCAATTGCAGCAAACTTCAATAACTGTACTCTCAGAGGAAGCTGTATGCCCGTTTTGGAGCTGCCAAGCAGATGTTCAGGATTGCAGAGTGCTTTAAAGCACACCCTTGGCAGATATGGTCTGGGTGGCAGGGGAGGATGGGCAGTGCTGGTGGTGGGACAAGCAGAGCTGTGCACCCCCATTCAGCTCTGTAGGCGCACAGCTGCAGCTCCAGGAGGGCTGGGGCAATCTCCTGTTTCCTTCAGCTGTGCAGCACGCTGGTGGCCTCGCTCTGGCTGGGCCACGGGCTCACAACATCCAGGTTCCCTTCCCTGCCCACCACATAACAGGATCTCCCATCCATCTAAATGAACTCGAGACCAGCACTGTAGGAGTGTTAGGCGTGATCTCTGTAGCTCTCTATTCTCTCCCCTTCTCACTCTATGTGTATTTTATGTGCAGACTTCTTTATTCTCCAGTAACTTCTGTCCACATGTATGTGCGTTCCTTCACCATGGCTGCCTCTGCCTCTCCAAGTATCGAGCCTGTTCTTTGTCTGTGACCTCCTGTGCTAACAGTGATGCCCTGCTTTGCTTACCTTCCAAAATATCTCTCTCTGCATGTGGCTGTGCCCTGCCTCCTTGCTTTGTGCTTTGATGCTGGTCGCAGCCTCTCCACGTCTCGCTTCCCTTCTGCCCTTCCCCTGGCTGTCAAATGATGCGAAGCAGAATAAAACAGAGTGGGAATTTGCATGCTGTGCCTCCTGTAATCCCTGGAACGATGTAACGCATCCGTAGGATTAAAGTGCAGCAAAGCAAGCTCTGCAGCATGCTTGTGAAATGGTGCAAAATATTGACCGCTCCTACAGGGTAGTATTAAAAAAAAAGCCACAAAAGGGGTGGTTTCGCTCTCAAAGCATCAATGGAGGTTCTGGTCAAATTCATTTTCTAAAGTAGACTTTCTAGCTAAGACACCGTGTTATTAATTTGTTCTTAAAGTGACAGAGTTCTCTCAGCTGAGGCTTGAATGTGGTACACTTGTGCTGAAGTCACTTGGGGTCAAATAATTGCATACATGTTTACACCCTTAACTTAGTCCTTTAGTTCCTGAACTGAAACTTCTCTGTGTATAATTACACAGGAGTGAAACTAGAAGCTTGAGATGAACTTAATTTGAAAGGGGGGGGAAAAAAAAAAAGAGAAGACCCTTAAATCTGGCAACGTTCCTATTTTGCACCTGGAAATGAAACGTGGGGTTGCTCATCTCAGCACTTTGCTGATTGTAACTTGCCCAGCTCTGCATGCCTTAGTTGGGTCTGGCTTTCATGTGCTGCTCCAATGTTTCTTCCCTCCAGTTGACCTGAGACCTTGATGATGAGGGCTTGTTAGTGGAACAGCCCAGTGGCACCGTTTGCTAAACTCCTAATTTGCAAACTGCACGCAGCTGCATGCACTCTTTCTCTAAAATGGCCAGCTTGCAAGCTTCAGAACTGCAGAGGCTGTTAGGATAAGTAGGATTGAAACAATTGAAGTTTAAATCTGAAATGATGACAAGTGACAGCAGATAGAGTTCATGGTGCAGTTGGTGTGGCATGTATTGCAGTCTTTTATTTTGGTGGCACCCCAAAGTAAGGGATGCTGCCAGCTAATAACAGACTGCTTTCCCAAGGGCCAGAGGAATTAATGGCCATCCAGATACAGCACGACAATCCCTTAAGCTTCAGTGTGGGCTCTTCCTTTGGGTTTCCATGCTCTGAAAACAGGCTACTCCATCTAGAGCACCAATTCCCACAGAGCAGATTCCTCACATCTGAGCGAAGCTCAGTTATTCTGAATGGTTTTGAAGCTTTGCTGGGTGGGTCACTGGGTGAGCTCCTCAGGGGATGTCTGTGCCTGGTACTGGCATGGTGAAAGCACTGCTCCAGGCTCCAGTTCAAACCGGGCTCTTTGCTTCCTGACTGCTTTTTGTCTTGTTTTTGCATTTAAACTTCAATGGTTTGAGCGAGGCACGGCGCGGCTCTGCTTTCCCAATTCTGACACGTTGGCCTTTCTGACCCCCCCCAGAACAATGACAACGAGACAGCGCTGCACTGCGCCGCACAGTACGGCCACACCGAGGTGGTGAAGGTCCTCCTGGAGGAGCTCACCGACCCCACCATGCGTAACAACAAGTTTGAGACCCCCCTGGACCTGGCCGCTCTCTACGGGAGGCTGGAGGTTGTGAAGATGCTGCTGAACGCTCACCCCAATCTTTTAAGCTGCAACACAAAGAAACACACTCCCCTGCACTTGGCGGCGAGGAACGGTCACAAAGCCGTAGTCCACGTCCTCCTGGATGCTGGCATGGATAGCAACTACCAGGTATCTGGGGTGGGGGGTGTGAGGGGCTGCTCTGGCTGCTGGGAGCCTTGTGGTTGTGAGGAGGGCTCCTCGTCCTCCATAGGGATCCTGTGTGGGAGAGGAGTGTTGGCTTTGGGTTCCTCCAGGCTGCTTGTTCAGCTTGTTCCTCTGGGAGGCCGCTCAGAGGAATCCTGGTGCAGTGCATGCTTAGTGCTTGCTCGTTAGTTGGGTGAAGAGCCACAGATGCATAGCGAGGGAGGAAAACTCCTCTGCCTACGCTGTTCTGCACTGCAAGACTGTGAGCTCTCGGTAGAGTGGAAGCAAACCATTTCCTTTCCAGCACGTGACCTTCTTCTAAGCTTTAGAAAGCCTTCTCTTGGTCGCTAACTCTGAGCCTGCATCTCTTTGCAAAGAGGCAGTCTCCATTTTCTGCTCCGAATTCTCAGTGTTGTAATAATGTCAATACTTTGTCCTCTTTGTATACGATGCAGTGTATTTATTGCTTCTGTAACCTTCTGAAAGTTCCTCCATCAGCACTCCCCCCATCTAGCTTCATGCTATTTTTCATTTAATTTGCAGACTGAAAAAGGCAGTGCTTTGCACGAAGCTGCTTTGTTTGGCAAGACAGATGTGGTACAAATATTGCTGGCTGCAGGTGAGAGAATGATCCCATTCTGAAACAGTAACGTGGTGAGCCCTTCAACCACAACCTGAGGAAATCCCTCTTTAGTGACAGCACTTTTCTCCAATCAGTACCAAAGTGCTGTTCCTCAGGGGGAGTTACAGGAGAGGTTATCCCTTGGCATCTGGCTTTAGGTTTGCTTCTACTGAGCATTTTTTAGCTCCTCCCAGTGATGAACGTGTGCAAGCTGTGACTTGATGAAAGATGTAAATCTGTGCTTGTTCGAAAATGTTCTTGCTTTTGCCTCCTCTATACCTACTGCTATAGGTATTGATGTGAACATAAAGGATAACAGAGGCCTGACGGCTCTGGATATCGTGAGGGAGCTTCCTTCTCAGAAAAGTCAACACATAGCAGCTCTCATTGAAGGTAAGCAGCAATGTGGGGGCAGGAGGGAAGAGTTTAGAGTGCAAATTGTGCCTGTGCAGGTACAAGGTGAGGGTCTGGAAAGTGTTGAACGCAAAGGAGCTGCAAGTCAGTGAGAATCTTCAGGGTGTGGGAAGAAACGACGCTGCACTGCTCAGGTGGATGGTGTCTGCAGCAGGGGGCAGGAGGACTTCCAGGAGTGGATTGAAGGGGGATTAACTTCTTTGCTGGAAGAGCGAGGCATCACTTTTACAATTTAAATGGGCTTAATTGAGCTTTGTTCAACTCGCTTTATAAGTAAATTAAAATTAAGGGTAGCCTAAATCTGCTTGCAGAATGCAAAGTAATAGCTTTAGATATGGTTTTGGATTAAGTCTGTTTTATGTGTCTGTAGGCAAATAGTCACCCACTGATCCCACCTCCTACTTCTCGCTTCACTGTGAAGCTTGGGCATGGATTTCTGCAGATGAGATTTCCAGAAGAGAACCTTGATTACTTGTGGTTTAGAAAGGATCTTGGCCCTTTGTATCTGCCCACATTAGGGAATGAAGAGTGGCATGTTAGCTCAACTCCTACCTTGTAATTACATTATCTCAATTTCCTGTCATCTGTGGGGAGAAAGATCAGAAGTGTATGCAACTGATGTGTATTATTCCTGCTCAGCATTTGAGAGCTCTACAGGTTCAAAGCTCTTTGTGGACTTTTAATTAAACTTTGTCTGTGAGGCGGGTCAGGATCATCTCTGTACTGAAACTGAAGACATAGATGGGCTTTAAAACCGAACCTCTTGCAGGTAAATGCTGACAGTTTGCTCCTGTAAGTGAGCTGTGTGAGATGGTGCTGTCTGATTTCATTCGTGCAAGCTTACTGTTTCTGGCTTGGTCTGTGGTTTGGGGACTGCAGCTAGAGCTAGCTTCTCTGCTGCTTTATGACCCCAGAAGACCAGACTGCATCTGTTTAGTGCTGCAGCCTGTGCTCAGAGCACCGAGTCATCTGCTCCTTCAAGTTGTCGCTCCAGGAGCTTTGCAGCTTTCTGATTAAAGCGTCTGTAGAAGTTCAAAGGATCCTTCTTAACCTTGTGCAAGTGATTAAAGAGGTCGACTGGTTCTATTTCAGGATCTGAGCTGCGAGTTTCAGTAATGTCCTTTGGTTATTTTTTTTGGAGACTTAATGCTGACAGTTGGTCTCCCATCCACAAGGGAGAAAATCCCATCTGCTGGAGATAAAGCTAGATGGCCAGAAACTGATCCTTGTTGTTGCCCCACCTCGTTGCAGATTACACGACTGGGAAGAAAAGTGCCAAAGCTGCAGACAAGACAGCGCAGGCACCGCCTGCTCCAAGCACCGACCCTGCGTGCTGGATCCCTCAGGGTAGGTTGGTGCACCCCAGGGGCCACGGCCACTCCTCCTCCTGCCAACACTGACCTTCAGAGGATGGAGACCACCAGTGATGCTCTTCTTTCCTCCCTTCCTCTCACAGGTGATGTGGAGAAAGCAGTGACAGAGCTGATCATAGACTTTGATGTGAACCCAGAAGAGGAAAGCCCATATGAAGCTTTGTACAACGCAACGTCCTGTCACTCCCTGGACAGCCTTGCCAGTGGGAAGTCTTCAGACAGAGAGTCTGTGAATAAGGAAGTGGAAGCAGCTGGCCTTAAAGCAGCAGGAGTCAGGCCTGTATGTAGCTGTGTGCTTGCCTTAGAAAGATAACTTCTCTCTTGCCATGATTGCGCAGCAGGCTGTGCCAATTCCTCAGCTTGAAGAAATCTTGAAAGCTACCCCTGGCATTGCTCAGAGCAGGCAGGCACCTCTGCTTTCTGTGCCTGTTCACGGTGCCCACATCTGTGTTAGAACTGGGATTATTTCTTCCCATCAGCCACTTTCAACACAGGGCAACACAAGTAGGTCACTGTTACTCATATCTCCATTCCTGCACGGCACACAGTCATTTTGGTGTGCCTGGTTTTACCCAGCATTGCACCCTTATGTTTTTTGACAGTCTCTGTGAGTTTTGGTTTGTCAGAATATTACCTGAAGGGCAACCTTATTACCTAGAAAAAGCTTTGGAAACTTCTGTGTAGCATTTCTCTTTTGCTTTGCCCAAGAGAAGGTTCTCGAGAAATCATCTTTAGGAATATCCTGCAGTAAACCAGCAGCAAAAATATGTTCTGTGTATTACTTGCAGAGATCTGTAGAGGGTACTCAAGGCTTTACAAGGCAACACAAAGCTCCTGGAACTATCTCCTCTTCCTCACCTTCTGTTAGTTGCATCTGCTGCCTCCTTAGCAATCATAGTGATGCTGCTCTGGGGCAGATGGGAAGCTGGCCTTGCAGCATGCTGTGTCAGCTTCAGGCTTTGTTTCTATAGAAAAGGCTTTGCAAAAACAACCTGAATTTTTGGACAAAGGGCAAAGCAGCAATGGCCAATTGCACTGTGGGTGGCACTGTACCCATGCTTCCTCTCCCTCTGTGAAGAGGTGCATCCCTTTCCCTGCAGTTTGCAAATGTAGCAGAAATGAAGCAAAACCTTCAGAAGGTGGACGTTTTGTCCAGATGTCTTGTTTAGTGAATGCAGTACAAGATGCAGGTGCTGCTTATTAAACTAGATCTTAGTGGTGTTTATCCATCTGAGTACTGTCTTGTGTTGATAGTGGCTGATGTGAAGTAAGCTCAGCTCTATCAGGCAAGATGAGAGGCTGAACTGCAGTGAGAAGGGAGAAGAAGGAGGGAGTTGCTTTAGCAGCTTTCTGGAGTTTATCCCAAAACTTGCTCGGGCCTTTTGCAATGAGCACTTTCTATTTCAATTAGCCATTAGATGGAGCTGTTGCAGGGCAGGAGCTGAGACGTCTTTAGCTCTGTGTGGAGACAAGACAGTGCAGCTCTAACTGCCTGCGGGCAATCTTGGGATATTTGAGGAATGCAGTGCAGCGCTGTCTCCTTGATCTCCAGAGGTTTTCATTAAAAAGATGCTTCTGGAATCACTTATTCCTGTTACTGCTTCATTAAGACACAAGTGAGTAGCAGCACAATGAGAAGTCCCTTTCTACACATCATAATGAGTTCATTATTGATCTTATCCGTGCAGTGCTCTGCTCTAGAGATGCCAGTCTGGATCTGAATGAACTGGCTTAATTAATGAAACAAACCTGTGTCAACACCACCTCCCACCTCAGCATGGTTGATGCTCCTGCAGGTCTGAGCTGTTGTGCACTTACTGCTCTGGAATGAGAGGTGTGCATGATCAGTGGTGGCCCTTGCAGTGTGCTGCAGTTGGTCCCTGTACACAAAGGGCTCTGCCAGGGCTGGTGTCCTGCTGGAGCGGGGAGGGAAGGCAGCACTGGGAGCTCTGTGCTGCTGGGAATTCATCATCTGCTCTGCTCAAATGAATGTGAGGAGGTGCTCAGCACGCTGTGCTCCCAGCAGTGTGGCTGTAGTGTCAGAAAGCAAAAGGGGATGGACTTTACCACAGAGATTGACAGTGGTCTTCTGAACTGCAGAGAGAGCGTCCACCCCCCCCTGCTAAACCACCGCCTGATGAAGAAGAGGAGCAGCACACGGAGAAGATGGGCCATGGTGCTTCCTGTGAGGTATGTGAGGCTGCAGCTGGATTGCTTTGCTGCAACGAGGCTTAAAGACCAGCTCTATGATCATTTGGATTTGGGTGGAAGCAGTTGTAATATTGCTTTCCTTGCAAATTGAGTCGGGAAGTGTTTTCTTATTATTATTCCAGCACTGCTGCTATCACTTGCCATGGGAACTTCCTTTGTGTGGTTCTTCCAGGGCACCTCTGTTTTGACCTTCAGCCTTGCTTTCCTATTCTTGGCTGGGAACTCCCATAGGAAGAGACTTTTCTGAATCACGTTGGGATGTGGACTGTTGCCCGCCTGTAATGATCCCACTGAATACTTCTGCACCCTCTGGGCTTCAGTCTCAAGTGTTAGTTCCTGCTTCCTCTGTGCTTCCAGCTGTGCAGTGGGCTCGTTGGTCCCACTGACGTGAGCAGGGCTCAGGGTCTTGAATTCAGCCAAGGTTCTGGCCCAGCATATGATGAAGCTGTCTTCTGCAGAGGGCAGTGTGTGGGAGCTGCTTTTTGATTAGAGCTCTCTTATTCTGTGTTCTTGCTCCTGGGCTTCCTATGGCTCATTTTTTATTCACTAGCTTATGAACCTCAGATCTGAGGGCTCTCTGGGAGCACTCATTGTGAGGACAGGAAACCACAAATGTCTTGGCAATCTCTGTTGGCACCCAGGAAGTCAATGCGAACACAAATCTTGAGGATTTCCTTTTCCAAATTCAATGAGGTGCATGTGAAACTAATGAAGTGTCTGCTGCCTTTGGCTGTTGGAGCAGACTCCAGTTCAGCAGAGCCTTTGCTTTGCATGTGTTGATGTGCTGAAGTTCCTATGAGACATAAATGCAATCTGTTTTCTGAAGTATGTCAAGTCTACACAGGATAGAAGTAAACGCAGTGTGCTGTAATAGGACTGACTTTACATAGAGTGGAACAGCAACCAGTGCACAAACAGCAGGACTGGGATGCCAAATTGTGGACTCCACTGCTGTTGTTTTCCAGCATATGATAACCAGAGAGGAGAGCTGGCTGGCAGGTCGTGGTACAACTGAAAAGCAGGACTTGTTTATGGCAGTAAACATGAGGGAAGCATGCATTGGCTGTTCCTGCTGAGTTACTTTGCCATATTTAATTACAAAGCACCTGCTGTGTTGTCCTGCCGTTGAAGGCTTTGGAAATGTGGTCCATTAAAGGAAGTCCTGCTGCCAATTACTTGTGCACAAAGTGACTCACTAGGGAAATCTTGATTTGTTTTATTGATAAGAAGTGCACACGGTGAGTGTAGCTGCATGGCAGTGGCCTTTCAGATCTACCCAGAAAGCAGTTTGGGTGCAATTGATTGGTTGTTGTATTTTTCACATGTTCTCTCTGTGTTGGGCAGGCACCAACAGGAATGAGCTTAGGGATTGCTGTAAGCTTCTCAGAGCAGCATCCTGATCGCCCATCTTCAGAACATGTTCTCACATTAGGGCCAGGGCACTTAGTCATCCAATGCTGTGGGGTTGGGCCAAACTGTGCTCTTAAAAGCAGTCCTTTTGTTCCGTTGCCAGGATGGGGCTATCAGTCAAAGCAGATGTGCACAAACAAGAAACTGAACTTCCATTGTGGAAAAACGTTAAGTATAAACAGGCAACAGAGCTGATTGTTTGGAAGGTGCCCGAGTGCCCTCCTTCCCTATCAGCAGAAACCTTCTGGGTTTGTGGCTGAAAAAAGGTTCTGTGTTGTCAAATTAAACTTCAGTTTCATTTCTTTGCTACTCATCTCCAGAAAGGAAATGCAGGCGAAAGGCACCATGACCATTCAGCAGTTCTCTCTGCAGTGCTGGGGGGGGAGGAGAGAGAAATGAAAGAGCCTTTAAAAAGTCTTTCACCAAGTCCCCTGCTGTGGATTAAGTACACTTTATAGGGCACGCTCACTGCTAACAGCTTATTTGTAGGTTTTGGTGATAGTGAATGGTTCTTGAGCACTAACCAATATGTATAAATAAATAGAAGATGAAACAGATGAAAGCGTTGATGATCTCCTTACTTACTTGGTTGCATTACCTGCAGAGTAAGCACAGTTCTCCTGCAAACAACTGATTTCATTTTAATTCAGTTTTAACTTAAGACTGTATTTGAGGCTTTGGAAGAATGAGAAGTTGAGACAATGAAGTGTCATCAGGCCCAGGATTGCACACCCTGACCTTTACGAAGCAAAAGCTGGGAACTGCATGTGGCTAGGAAGCTTCTTTCTGCAAATACATTCAGTGCATTTGAACGAGGGCAGTGCAGCAGTCATCATCTGCAGGAGCCTTAGCAGTGCACTAATGCCTGGCTGGAGGTCCAGGCTACGACTGTTCTGCCAGGCTGCTGCTGTGCAGTATTTTTCCAAGATCTCTGGCGAGAGCCTGATACCTACTGTTACAGTCTGATGTTTTTGTGCCACCATCTGCTCAGAAGTCTTTTGCCTTAATTTGCTCATTATGAGCTCTTTCACCTGAGAAGGAGTTGGTGTGCCTGACAGCTCGTCTCAAAGCTTATAGAACAAATACTTTCCTTGTGCCTGACCTGCTTCCTCCCATTACAAAGCTGATTTAAAAGCCAGCTGGACCGACACAGGGATGCAGGACTTTGTGTCGTTTCCAAGCCTCCCTAAAAGGCCTCCAGGTGTCCTGGTTAGGTCGCAGCCAGGTAGGTACCTATTTGCCCTTGAGGAAAGAGATGCTTCCTCCTAGGGGAAGAAATTGGAGGCAGCTCTTAGTCTGCTGTCTAGACAAGGGCAGTTCCAGGAATCCGAGCAGTGCAGGAGCCTTCCTTGGGGGCTGCTGTGTGCAAACCAATCCTTCCCTGTCCTGGCAGCAGGCAGGGATTGCTCACTCTCTGGCTCTGATTTGCTCCTGCTGGGCTGCCTGAGTTGTTAGAGGCACACGGGGGCGTGGGACAGGACTGCAGCCAGAGTGACCAGGAGATGGTGCTGAGAGGCAGCTGCCAGGCGGGCAGGGTGCCTGGAACCTCTCTGGTGCTGGGATGGCACAGGTGGCTCCCAAAGGGCAGTGGGTGACCCGTGGGCTGGGCAGACCTGCAGTAACAGCGCTCCCTGCACACGGCAGTGACTTTCCAGGGCAGCTCTGTGCAGGTTCTGCCAGTGTCACCAACGAGCTCTCAGCAGAGGCTTTGGGGGATTTAAATGATTTCACAGTCACTGCTGTGCGTCCTGAGGTTCAGCTCGGTTTACGCACTGTTGCCTGAGGCCCTTGTAGACCTCAGTACGATGTACGTCCTGAGGTTAGGCATGCTAGATCTGATTTCCAAAAAGGTGGCAGGGATTAATTTTATATTGTGCTGTGGATTTTTTTTTTTCCTCTAGCCACGTCCTAATAGGGCCAGTAGTTAAATAGTCAATGACGATGCAAATTCCAATAGCAACAGCAAGTCTGAGTTGGGCTGAACAGGAATAATGTGCTCAGCTCTTTTCTCACTGCCCGGGCTGTCTGCAGACCTTGCACAGAAAATCAGTTGGTCAGTGCTAGAAAGCTGTCAGCAGCCTTAACTACTAGAAAATAAAGGTCTTTGGGGATCTTCTGTCTTTTGGGCTTTGTGGATTTGTTTTTAATTTGGTTATGTTTTGGTTTTATGTTTTTGTCCACTACAAAGGTGTTGGCTCTGCCAATTCCATGCTTAAACCATGGCATGAAGAGGCCTTGCAGGAATAAATTGCACCGCTTTGCTTATGCTGTTTTTCATTAGGCCACTGTTGCACGAGGAAAGAGCAGAGGAAGTGGAGCTGAGGAAGAGGAGCACCCTTATGAGCTGTTGCTTACAGCGGAGACTAAAAAGCCAGTGGCGGTGGATAGAAAAACAAAAGGTAAGTGACCATCCCAAAATGCACTGTGCAAAAACACGGAGGGCAGAGCACTTGGAACAATTAAAAGCTGTGGGGTGGGGCGTCTGGACTCTGTATTGCAATTGTTTTGTTTCCTGGTGATCTTCCCTTTTATAATGGAGAGATCTAAACGTTCCTGTGCAAAATGTACACAGAGGAAAAGCAAATCCGCTGTTCTTGACAGCTGAGAGTTTGCAGGGACCCACAGTGGTAACTTAGAACATAAATGAATACTGTGCACTGTCAGGGCAGAGTTGGAAGGCAGTGCAGTGTTGTTGGGAGTGAGATGAAGCAATGCAAGCACTGAATGAGCCGTGCTCTGCATCCAGCTGAGCTTAGAGACCTGCTGGTGTTGCATGTTTGTATCAGCAGATGATCAGCCTGCCTGTCCTGGTAATAAAAACAACACTCTGCTGTGTATTAAAGCTAAATGGAGATGTAAACTAACACATGATGAAACTAAACATGTGCAGAGCAAGCTCTTCTCTGGATCTGGCTGCAGTTCCCCTATGTGACCAGGTTAGGTACTGAACTTGGCTCTCTTGTCCCAGAGGGACTTCTGTGCTTTGCAGGGATTTGCAAACACCTTGGCTGTCTCTGGGCTTTTGGCTCCCCTTCAACAACAGCAAAAGATTTGTTTGAAGCAGAGATATCCCTTGCTTTATTCAAAACTTCTGAGCAGGAATTTGGAAGGATTCAATTTGGACTCTCAACCCAGAACCCATCTCATTTTGAGGATCACGCAGAGTCGCTGTGGTGCCTCTCTGACTCCCTGTGAGAGCAGCAGCATTCTCAGTTCTGCTTTCCCTTGCAGCATGGTAGTGTTCCTTCCTTGAGTCCTGCTGCACTCTTGGCCTGGATGGGGTGGCACAAGAGGTCATTGTTTTCCCACCAGTGTCTGCCAAAGCCACTTGCAGCCCGAGGCAAAGTTCGGATGCTTTTCAGGTTGGCACTCTGCAGTCTCAGCCAGGGAATAGTCCCTGGGCAACAGCCATTGAACCAGAATCTTTCAGGAGATCTTTCCAGTGCAGCTACTGCTGATCATTCAAGTGTGAGCTGCCTCTTCTCCATTCTATGGCTACCAATTGCATCTTAATGTGAGATTCATTGTAACTGTGTTTGTGAGGAGCCTAAAGCCCTTTCCACTGTTGTGGGGGGAGGGGGAATCCAAGGAACGCAGGAGAGCTTTCTCTTTTTCTAGGACATGCTCACTTCCTTAAATACAGGAGAGCTATAACCAGTGTGAGAGGAAGGAGCCTTTGATCTGATGCAGGTGAGGAGCTGCTCCGAAGGGGCCCCTCCAATGTATTTCTCACCTTGTGTACTGCTGAAGCTCAGCAGGGGCATTTCCCACTGCTCTCCTTGTAGTGCTGAATGTGGAGATTATTGTGACCCTCTCATGTCTGTTCTCCAGAGGTAGCAGCTGTTTTCCAAAGCAACTCAGAGCTCCCTGCAGCATGGCTGCACGTGTGGCAGTGTCTGTGCTCTGCAGGAGCTGCAGATCTTTGCCAGGACCCCATGTCATCTTTCACCTGCTTCGGGTTTCATGACCCCAGTAGGAAATGAAGCAGCTGTTTGGTAGTTACTCCCTTTTTTTTTTCTTTTTTCTCTCCCACCCTCCCCCCCCTGTATTGTTCCTCCCTCACAGCAGCCACAGGTAGTTTCTTTCTGCACAGGATGTTTCCTAACTGCTCTGGAAGAGCGGATCAGCTTTGAAATCTCCTGCCTTACACAAAAGCAAATGTTCAGCTCTCGCAGTAGCTGAGGTCAGATGCTAGGAGGACATGGGGAAGCAGATGTAGCTGAGTCTGAAACGTGAGTATGTGCTGATGTGGGGAGAGAGGGCGTTTGGGAAGTAGTGCAGTCTTGTTGGCAGAAGTTAAGCGAGGGCTGAGCAAGGGACCAAGGACCAAATTGAGGTGTTGGAGAATTTTTCCACCTCTGGATCAGAGGGGTCCTGGAGCATCAAAGGCAGCAGCTCAGCTCCAGGACAAAGAGCAGACTGAGACATGGCTTGGAATTGCTGCTTGGCCCTCGATCTGAGAGGCTGTGCTTCCAGATGTTGCTTGGTGACTTCTGGAGGAGCCTTTGGTCAGAAGAGAAGGACTCTGATGTGCTCTTCAGGGCAGCTGCCAGGCAGAGTGGCAAGCACGCTGTTTTTAATGGTGTCTTTCATATGTGATAGCTGCCTTTGTTCCCCTTGCTGCAAGTTGTCTTGTGTCCAGTGACCAGATGAATGTGGCATTATCTGCCCTGCTCTGGTTGCCTTTTGTGTATGTTGCAGCAGTTTGCTGTCACATGCTGGAGCACTAGGAAAAGTTGGCTGATTGTTTCGGGCAGAGTCTCAGAAGCAGTTTGAGCCAAATGCTTTCCCATCTCTTTGGTAAGGAAACTACGTGCAGTCTCACGCATGAAGTCAGGGCTGTCAGACCTTGTAACAGGACTTGAAAATAAGCCAAGAGTGGTGAAGTGTGCATGGACTGATGGGGAGGAGACTGTACAACTCCTGCTGCGTGTAGGGAGAGACTGAAGGAGGATGAATGCAGAAAACACCTCTGAGTGTGGATGTGTGTCTTGCTTCTGAGGAGGGCCATCGGCCAGTGCTGTCAGCAGCCTCAGGTAGGACTGAATGGCTCTTCATGGTGGTTATCAGCTGTTGGTGCTTGTTGAGCTCCTGCTGGCGTGCTGCCATAGCAAGCCCAGCTTGAGGTCCTCAGCTCACCCTTCCTCCTGCTGGAGCTTTCCTCAGTGGTGGTGCCAGAAGTGTCGCTGTTCTCTAGACCAGATATCTGAACTGACCCAATCACAAAGGACAAAATGTGCTTCGGGGGGATTTTGACTGTGAGCTGGGCAGAACGTGTGGGCACACAGGGCTGGGTAGGAATGGAAGTTTCTTGGTTTGCTCTGAGATGAATGGTAACGTAGGACTGACTGCTCTCCTCTGATTTTGTTGTCACTGTAGGACAGATCCTGTCTCCATGTCTTTGATCCAAGCCTGCATTTCTGTTGTCACAATGTATTGAGGAACCTCCATGCAGGGTAACACGAGGACAGCATTCCTTCCCTTCACTTTCTTGAAGGGCAGTGGGGGAGGGAGTGCACACGACCACAAGTTTAGGTGGCTTTTGGAGGATAAATTTTGTCTCAAACAACTGAGGTGATGGAGATACATTTCTGAATTTCACATGCAGTACCTCGCTATGTAAATGAACCTTTGTGTTTCTATTTTACTGCAGTTGAAGGTTATTTTTGCACCTCTAAAGTAGTACTCTAAAGGCCAGCTTTCCTCTCTGCTGCAGCCTTTTATGCCACAGGAGCTGGATTTGCATGCTCACCACCTGACAAATTACATGATGTAGCACAGAGAGCCTTTTGTAGGTGAAGATTAGAGACTGGAATATGTCCTTGCTAAATTCTAAGGTTGGGAAGCTTGAGCAGAGAGCGGCTGCAATAACAGCTTGATTCTCCTGATCCAGGGGCATGAAACAAACCCTCCTGATGATATCTAGGGAAACAAACTTGCTGGAGGCAATGTGGCTGCAGCTTGGTGTTAGGGAAGTGCTTCATATCTGGGATCATCAAGCTGCTGGCAGGAGAGCATGTAATTGAATCCTTCCTGGGAAGCAGACAGTCTGTGCCTGGAAATGCGCTCTGTGCAGTGGGAGCAAACCCTTCTGTGGGTGAATCCTGCAGCAGGAGCTGGCTGAGGAACTCAGCTGTGCTTGGGTGTGAAACCAGCCAAGGGACTTGAGCTCAAATCCATATTTAAGAACGACTCCCTTTTTGCGAGTGAAAAGGTGCAACTGGATGGGGATGCTTTCAAAGGTAGATAAAAGTTCCTAAATCCCATGGAGTACCGCAGATGGATGGACCTGGACTCTCTCTGCTTTCCTAGCCCTTAGATATTATTTTCTCCTTGCCCTGTTTCAATGTGTACTTTAAAAGGGAATACTGCTCATCTTTTTGCCATGATCATTGGCTGAATTGCATAAGCAACTTACCCAAAAAATGTACACGGCCTGAAAAGGCCTGTGGTCACTGGAGAGCACTGGCTCTGGCCTCTCCTCCCACCCTGGGGCACCTTGAGTTGAAACCCCAAAAAGTAAAATTGTTTTGGGGAGAGCCCCCTGTGCAGCTCAATGGTAAAAAGGAGTGAGGCTGCTCCTCCCATCCTGCGTGTGTTCTTCTGCCTGCAGCTTTTGGGGCAGCCTTACAGGCTCTGAGATGTCTCTTTCAAGACGTTCCTCATCTTCTCTGCGAGTGCTGTTCCCTTTGCTCCATCCCTTCCTTCCCTGGCAGCTCTCTTGTATTTCAGAGTCTGTCTCCATCGTCTGGAGTTTGAATGGGCGGCTGTGATTTCTGTGCAACAGGAGCCCCTTTGTGAGCTCTGGAGCACTTTGTTCTGGCTGCACCCAGCACGTGGCACAAACTTCTCCAAGCTGCCTCACTGCATTCAGCAGGAATGGCAGTGGAGGTTAAGCTGGGACACGGGAGAGGTGAGGAGAAGAGGGAGGGCTGTTGAATTGGTAAAGGATCCAATTCCTTCCAGTCCATTAGAGGGTAATGCGCCTGTGTCCAGTCCCTCTTTCAGGATCTGTAACTTTCTTACACTGGTCTCTGCTACGTATACAGCAGGTCCCATCCATTCTGAGCTTTCTCTCCAGCATTACAACCTCAGATCTTTGTGCACACCAACCGAATACAGCCTGACCTTCACTTCTTCCCGGCGCTCCCAGCCCACGCTGGGCGCAGTGCAGGTGAGGCTTTGCAGTGAGGCCTGCCCTCAGTGGCTGCAGCCACAGAACGTGTGGGATGTGTACCCATGGTAAGATGATCAACAACTACTTCATTGTCCTGGAATCCCAAACTCATAGGATCCGGAACAAAATCAGCCCCAGCATCACTTAACGCCAGCGAGCAGCGAGGTCTGCCAGCGTCCTGCCCTGGCTGTTAACCTCTGCTCAGGCTTTTGCTGTTCCTGACTCAGCTGCCAACCCAGCAAGCTGCTTTCTGCATTTCTGTGGAGTAAACAGATGCCTGTGAGGACTGGCTGGCGCTCACAGGGCGCGTGAGACCCCGGGATCTGCATGGCGTGCGAGGATGAATGGCTGATTCAGGCCCTTCCTGCCTCATTTCTGGTGTGGGGATGCACCACAAAACCAGATGTGCTTGGAAATGACCTGGTCAAGCTTAGTGCAAAAAGGATGCTGGGGGGAAGGAGCTTAATTTCACTGTTGTTGCTAATAGCTGCTTCTTGTTAAAGAGAAGCAAAATGGATCAGTTCAGTTCGCCTCGCTCAGTGAGATGAGCGTTCCTTCGCCAGCTCCTGAGAGCAGCAAACCAAGGAGTTTCCTCTTCATGTCCAGATACCCTCCTTATATTTCAGAGCCACGTTACGGAGGTGCTTTGTTTTATTGCTGTGCTGCAGTGTGCTTTTAGTTGTTCTCCCACCCAAGTGTTTGTGGCAGTAAATGGAAGTGGTTAAAATCTGCAGGCCACCACAAGCAGGTAGTGGGGATCCCAGGACCTGCGAGCTGTGTTTCCTTGCTTTTCTAACCTTTGCTTGTGCAGCTCAGATGCACGTGTTCAACCTGGCTGAGGTGAGTATGTGTGTTGGTGCACACACCTGGCAATTGGGACCGGTCAATTATTGATGATTTACCTGATATTGGGGATGTTAGCACAGCAGTAACCAAGTAACAGCGCCGCATTTCTGGGACAGCCACTCGTGCACAGAGCTTTCTGCATTAGCATTCAGTGCTCAGCTTGCAGCAGAGAGCCTTTTTGATGGAGCTTTTTATTGCATAAACTGTTTATTTCTCTCCCCTGAGCAAGGAGGAGAGGTTAAACTCGGAAACCACGAGGGAGGAAGGCATTGTTTTTTTTGGGGAGCAGCTTTTGGAACTTGCAGGTTGTTTGCAGTCCAGAAGTTTTTCCCACCCTGCAGCTGGTGCCAAGAGCAGGGAGCACCGCTCTAAATAACACTTTGGCCTTTATGGAAATGTATCAGATGTTCCAGGAGCTCCGTCTCTGCTTCTCCTACCTCGCTCGCTCTCTCTGCAGGATATACTTAGCACTTGTCTTAGCCTTATATAGCAAGGCCTGATAGTTAGTGTTAACAGGAATAAAACAACACGGAGAGCTGCCAGATTGCATAAATCAGGCCAGTGTTTGGAATTTCATAAATGCCACGACTTTGGGTACAAGTTGAGTACGCGGAACAATACGGAACTGTTCTCTCTTTATCTCTCCCTCCCTCGCTGAGGGAGGGCAGAGGGAGAGCTGGAATTTCGCAGCTTCTTCCATCTTTTAAACTTTTTTTTTCTTCCTTTGCTTTCATCCCCCTGAAGACCACAGGAGGAGCAGCGGTGGCCGCAGCCAGGACTCTGCAGACACCCAGGACATCCAGGTTCCGGAGCAGTTCTCGGGGCTGCTTCACGGTTCTTCCCCCATCTGTGAAATAAGCGAGGACCCTTTCAGGCTCGTTCCCTCCGCGGAGAAAGGAGGCGTGGAAGCAGCGAGCCACCCACCTGCTATGCAGCTAGAGGATGCTGATTTACCTGCCCCTGCATCAGCACCGACCGGCTCTCCAGAACAAAACCAGAAAGCAATCTACGCAACCGTCCAACACGCTCACGTCAACCGGGCGGATCCTGAAACTGTAGGCACGCCCCACGTGCTCCAGCACCCCGGCGCTGCCGAGGACGAGGGGGACAGAGGTGGTGCTGTGGGCAGAACCCACCCGGGGAGCAAACCCAAAGCCGAGCTCAAGCTCAGCCGCAGCTTGTCCAAATCAGACTCCGACCTCCTGACCTGCTCCCCAACGGAGGACGATGCCATGGGGAGCCGGAGCGAATCGCTCTCCAACTGCAGCACTGGGAAGAAGAGGTTGGAGAAGTCGCCGTCCTTTGCTTCGGAGTGGGATGAGGTGAGTTTGAGTTTGCTGCTGTGCCAGGGATGAAACTGTGCAGCGTGAGCTCCTCTCTGCTGCAGGTCTTCAGAGGGGCTCGTGGGTGGTTCGCGTTATTTTGACTAATTCGCGTCTCAGCCAGAAGGAAATGCTGAGTTACAAGTGGTTAAAGCTCCCTTTTGGCATTTAACACCTTAATTGGAGTGCGGAGAAACAGAACTGCAAGGGGTTGGGGGCTTTTCAAAGGTTTTGTTCTTTTAAGTTACTTAATGCAGGGCAAGCCAGATAAGTTTAGCACCCCCAAAATGAGGGAGTATTGATAACAGCGATCCTCATGGATTCATGCTGACTCCCTCTTCCCAATTTTTCGCCTTCAGACCCCCAGAATTCAGAGCAGAGGTTTTGTGCCTGGGTCCCCGCTGCTGGGGGTGAGCTGTGTCCTGGGCTCACGGAGCTGGAGAGCAGAGAGTAATTGAGCTGTTTTATGTATGTAATAGCTCCTACTTCACATGGTTATCTTGGAGGCTTGTTAGAAGGCACTTTATTGTAGTCCGGGAGGCCTGTGGATAGTTAAATATTTCATGCTCAGAAAGTTGGCCCTGGTGAACCACTCGGGCGAGATTAAGTGTCCCTCTGAAATCCAGCACCGCAGCATTACTGAAACATTCTTTGGAGATGATTCTGTGCTGGTGGAGCGGCGGCGCTGCGGAGGAGATAAGCTCACATGAACCACTCTTTGTACACTGAAGGGAAATAGATGGCCCCGGCGTGTGCTGGGGGTCAGGGCTGTGTGTGCCGGGCTCGTGGCAGAGGGGAACGGCTGCCCCGTGGGATGGCTGTGCCTCCTGCCTGCCCCTCGTGTGCTTCAGCTGCCTCTCTGACCCCAGCCCAGGGATAAAATCACGTTTGGTGGAAGACGGAGGTATTCCACAGGGATAAAAGTGAAGTGGGAATCGTTCCTCAGCACTCCCATCCTTCAGTCCGCATGCTTTCTCCCTGATGCGTCTCCAAATACATATTTTCCTCTGCAGGTGTTTTGGTTGCAGAGGCTTTGCTGCTAATTAGCTGGGTTAGTTGCAGTGCAGCTGCTAGCGAAAGGTTTTGTAACGGAAGGCACATCTGAAAGGAGCGGAGAGCTTTCCCTGTGCCTTTCGTGCCTCACCAAACTGTTTACAGCAAATGTTGAAAGGGAAAGGAGCCTCTGGCTTTGCAGAGTTGCACAGCTTTACTGGTAGCAGAGGTCAGAGCTCAGCATGCCTGTGCTTCCGCTGCTTGGAGAAGGGAGCCTGCAAATCTGCTTCCCTGCTTGTAAACAGAAAGCGTGGCTCCCAGCCCGTGCTGCCCAATGAGCCACAGGAGGGAAATCTGCTTTTCCTCCGCGCCGTGTTTAGGTGAGGAAATTTAGAAAGAATGTGAAAAATTCCCATCTGTCTGCAGTGGAGCGGGTCGAATGTGAAAATATTGGTACGATCAAAACCTGATGGTTTTACATGTTTTCCCACTTTCTGAGGTAATTTGAACACCTCGTGGAGTTGCTCTGTAGCAGAACCCCATGGCTAGATTTGCCTCGGGCTCTCCTAGCAATCACAGACCTCCCCATTGATTCCAGACAAGTCTCCCTCCTCTCTGCCTCAGTTTCCCCATCTGTGAGATGTGAAGAATATCCTGGTTCCCACTGGAAAACTCTCTGCAAAGCTAAACATAGTGAGACAAGCCGGCAGCTGGCGATTCATTGCCTTTCGCTGGCTTTGCTCCTTAAGACTCCGCACAGAAGTGTGCAGGGTCTGTCTGCCTCCTGCTGCACGTGCAGCTCTTGCGCTCTGTGATGCTGTCAGCAGGAGGGGCACGCTTTGTGAAGCAGAGCAGTTTTTTGCATAGCATGAAATGGAGCTGCTGCTGGTTGGCGATTCGTGCGGCCAGTCCGCTTCTTGCTGTAGAATATCACAAGGCTCCTGTGGTTGGTGGTGAGAAATGCTGGGTTCGCACCTGCAGGGAACTTGTGGGTTGTTTTGGGTTTTTTTTGCAGTGATTTGTATGTGCAGAAGGGGGCTGGTCCGGCCGGTCATAATGATGACAATAAGATTTAAACATTAGCAGAAGTGATGTTGCTGGAGATTTAATTAGTTCCCTGAATGGAGGAAATGCAGCTGCCCTGAGTCCAGCGTGACTCTCAGCCTCGGAATTTCCCCAGCTGACAAAACCTCACTGAGCCACTGCCTCTGTGCTGGGGGGAACAATGGCAGATTTATAGGCGTTATTCTGTTCCTTTTAATAGCCTTTATGCAGGCAGCCGAGGAGGAAAGTGATCCGTGTGCAGCTGCAGCGGCTTTGCCCACAGCCAGCAGTAGGTGTGTCTGCTCGGGGCACGGGGGAGAGGGGGGGGACCGGGTTGTGTCTGTGCATGGATGGATCTGTAAGCAGAGCCAGCATCGCTCTGGGCCGTGGGTGAGCGTGCACAGGGAGATCTGTGCTCGGACAGAAGGGTCACGGCCCTGCAGCCGCCCGCTGCCAATGCCCTTTGTTGGAAGTGGGAGGTGGTGCAGCTTTGCCAGAAGGGTGGGCTGGGGAAGGAGTGATTCACTTGGCAGCGTTCAGCCCCGCTCCCTGTTGAGCAGCTCTGAGGGCCTGGCCCAGCTGCGTGCAGGGGGACGCACACCGTGGCCCCAGATGCTGTAAGCAAGCAGAGAGATAAGCAAAGCAAACAGCGCTGTATTGCCCAGGGAGCAGAGGAGGACTGTTGGAGGTGAGGATCAAAACTTGCTCCTGCTGCTGCCTGGGAAGTGAGGGCAGGGAGAGGAGCCACGTGTGCTGCAGAGCACTGCCCTCAGAGGGCTGAAGTGGTGAATTTGTTTGGTGTAAGTGGCTCATGAATATTGAGCAGCCGTGAGAGGAGCGGCGCTCACCATGAATTTTGCATAGGAGGATAAACTGTTTGTGTTCCTGAAGGAGTGGGGCTCAGCCCTGCTGCCAGCCTGCTCTGTGCATCCATCCGGGTCCCTTTGCAGGTGCTGCTGCAGGTGAGCACACCTGGCAGGGCTCGGGCCCAGATGTGCTGAGCTGCTTTCCCCCGAGCATCACGAGCCTCCCTGGATGAAAGGCAGGTATGAACCTCTGTTAGCAGTTCAGTGAAGTCTGGGGGATGGACAACAGCCGTGCTTTGTTCCGGGCCCATAAGACCTGATGGCTTTTGGCCAGGTTGAGGTGTTGAACCATTCCTTTTCTCCTGTTGCAGTTCTGAATCCTCCTATTCCTCGAGCAGCCGAGCTTGGCTGTGCTGGAGGAGAGATCCCAACCCTACAGCTTATCAGCAAACTGCTCTGCTCCTTGGGGAAGCGGCTCCTGACAGTGAGAGCAATTAGTGCTGCTACAGCGGCCCCAGGGGGCAGCGATGGCTGGAGAGGAGCTGGGCTGTGCTCCCCACCCCCTGTTGTGCTGTCAGCTTCCTAAAAGCAGTGTTTCAGGTATCTGGGAGATGCGTCCCACGCAGCGTTGCTTTTGCAGGACGATTGACAGCCACTGAACGCACATAGCAGATAAATTGGGCTCTGTTTGTCCAGATCAGCTGAGCTGACCTGTCTGATGCACAGACAGTGCTGTGAGGCTGGAGGTGGATGGAACTGGAGGTATTGGTAAGACAAATGGTTTGGGGAGCCTTTTTGGGGGCAGAGCACAGGGGTGCTGCTGAGGAGCTGCAGACCTGGATCCCCACGGCCACACAGGGCCTCTTCCAGCCACCAAGTGAGCAGCTCCACTGCTGAATTTGCAGCGAACGGCTCAGAGGGTTCCAGCATCAGCTTCACAAAGTGAGGTGGCTGCTGTGTCTGCAGCTCTTCCAGGAGGAGATTAAGGCTGCTTGGGAAGAAACTGGGGGAGCTGAATAAAACACGCTTTTCTTTTCTTAAGCTTTTTTTTAGATTTAGGGAATGCACAGCCCACCACTTTGATGCCTTCCTCCCCCCCCTCTCCACCCCCCCGAAGTGAAATTGCTGATGAATTAATGAATAATTTGTGTCTAATTATGGCACTGGACAGCCATCCTCATCTCCTGCAAGCGATTGCAGCCTGTGCTGTGTGCTCCATAGGAGTGAGCTGCACATCCCCATTGCTTTCTGCCATGGGTTTTGAAGAGCTGCACGAGGGTAGAGGTTGTGCTGAAGTGGCTAGAAGGGCTTGAGCTCCATTCACCTTGTCAGGGCTGCTTGGCTGCTTAAGCACTCTGTGGAATTGCTGCCTTAATTACGCTCTTAGAGTTGAGGATTAGGAGTATTTGCATCGAGATGTGAACCTTTGAGGAAAGCTCTCCATGCCAAACCCACCACTGCCTTAAAATACACTCAGAAGTTGAAATTCAGAGCTGCATTCTGATGTTGAAAGGAAATGCAAATCTCCCCCTTTGCTATTCAGGGGGAGAGCTGCTATTTTGTGCCTGGTGAAACTGCATCCTCTAAGAGCTCGAGGTTCCTTGTTCTGACAAGCTCTCAGCTCACCTGCTGGGCTGCAGCTCCTGCATGGCCAATGCTGTGGATCAGATACGGAGGTTTCAGGTGACTGCTGCAGTTGGGGAATCCATATGTTAAGCCTGTCCTTGCCCCCCCCCACCTGCAGCTTGCAAGCTGTCCTGCAGCATCCGAGGATGGCACTGGCTCCTTCCATCCTTGCTTGTCAGCCTGTGCTGCCTCAAATCTTGGTGTATCCTGTGGATTCTGGTGTTTAATCTGGAGCTCTTGCCCTGGCCTTGAGCTGTGGCAGTGGGCTGCTCCCAGCCCCTGGGCTCTTGCTGTGCTCCTCAGCCCCCATCCCCTGCCTCCCGCTGGCTCTGTGCTCCTCAGGGCTCCTTCCAGGTTTCCCTTTGCTCCTCTGTAATGTTTTGTGATACTTTGGTTATGGGAAAAGAAGTGATATGCTCAGTGTTTTCATCCTGACTTCTGCTGTTCTAAACAAATGTGTCCTTCAGGATCTCAGTTTTCTTAATTAACGGGCTGATTATTCTATTGTCTCCAGATTCCAACGTTTCCTCT